TTTCTCTTCAACCTCTCCTCTCCCTGGTTTTTACTTCTCAACATACAAATTCAACTCTTTCATGTGTTAATAGTAAAATTCTCCCTTGATGCTCTATCCCCTTCCAAATGCCACCTGGTAAAACATGCTAATGGTTACCTATCCAACATCCATTCCTCCCAACAGAAACTCCAAGTTGCCAGCCCAACAACTGCTCCCACCCCTCTGTGATTTAGGGAAACAAGACTGCATTACCCTTAAGTCCTGATCAGTCTATAGTGGTTCTCTTCCATTGCTGGTAGACGATCTGTGGGTGAACATGTGGCCAGTATCTCAGGTAGACAGTTTCTAGGAAAGATTTCTACCCTCCTAACAGTCAGACATCATTGGAGAAGGTTCCTTCCTGCTTTTAGATTTTGCCTTTCCAAATAAGACACCAGGAACTGGGAGGGCCATTTTATACCACGAAGGGAACTGAAATGCCACCCCAACATGGATGGCAGAACAAGAAGATGGAAAGAACCTGGGTCCTTGATGACTAAGCCAACCCTGGAGCAAACAACCTCTGTCCACCTTGACTCTGGCAAGACCATAAACGTAAGGGGACTCTAAGGTTCCCTTCTTGCTTGCCGCCCACCCCAGTTAGAAGTGCTATCAAGGTGCACTGAATAGCAGCACCAGCATTCAGGGTGTACCAATGAGAGGCAAAAGTGTGGCAGCTGGGCAAGGTGCCCCATAACACCTGTCCTCAAAAAATTACATAGGTGGGCAGCCCTGGTGGCGCAGCGGTTTAGCGCCGCCTGCAGCCCCAGGGTGTGATCCTGGAGCCCTAGGATCGAGTCCCACGTCAGGCTCCCTGCATGGAGCCTGCTTCTCCCTCTGCCTGTGTCTCTCACTCTCTCTGAATAAATAAATCTTAAAAAAAAAAATTACGTAGTTGCCCTTCAAATGGTTCACCTCCCTCTAACAACTTTTGACACCTGCTACTAAAAAAAGAAAAAGGGAAAATGTATGGGGGTGGAGGGGAAAGGAAGACAATACTTAACCATCTTCTCAGTTCTAGTTCTTTCCTGCCCTGAATATCAACCTCATTAGGTATTAGTGGTTGAGTGTCAATAGTTCTTTAAATCTCCAGCTACATCCCTCAGTCATACACTCAGTCTTGGCTCCACTAAGAAATGCTCTGGCTAAATTTGCAACAACAAGGATGGAACTAGAAGGGATAATGCTAAGCGAAATGAGTCAGTTCGAGTAAAACAAATACCACATGATTTCACTCATATGTGGAACTTAAGAAACAAAACAGATGAACATAGGGGAAGGGAAGGAAAAATAAAATAAGATGAAAATTGAGAGGGAGGCAAGCCATAAGAGATGCTGAACTCTAGGATACAAACTGGGGGCTGCTGGAGAGGAAGGGGGTAGAGGATAGGGTAGCTGGGGGATGGGCATCAAGGAGGGCCCTTGATAGTAATGAGCACTGGGTACTATTTGCAACTGACAAAGCACTAAATTCTACCTCTGAAACTAATAAAAAAAAAAAGAAGAAGAAGAAAGAAATGCACTGGTTAAAAGAAAGAAAAAGAAAGAAAGAAAGAAAAATGGACTGGCTATTTGCCTCTGGACCTCTATGCTTCTTTTTCCTCATCCATAGGCTAAGGATAATGATATTCACTTGTTAGAGTTTCTGTGAGGATCTTTAAAAATAGCATATGCAAACACGGTTTAGAACCATGCCTGGCACACACTAAGCACTCAACCAACCTGCTTTCTATGTGTGACAGTGACCCAAGAGGCTGGGGTCAAAGGGTGAGGGTCAGTGTATAGAGGTATTCTCTGCATCTCATACCTTTTTTTTTAAAGATTTATTTAGAGAAAGAGTGTGTGTGAGTGGGAGAGGGCTACAGAGAGAGGGAGAGGGAGAGAGGGAATCCTCAAGCAGACTCCCCAGTGAGCGTGGAGTCTGACTCAGATTTAATCCCAGGACCCTGAGATCAGGACCTGACCTGAAATCAAGATTTGGCCCATTGGCCACTTAACTAACTGTGCCAACCAGGTACCCCTGCATTTTTTATCTTATTTATTTATTTATTTATTTTAAATTTATTTTTTATTGGTGTTCAATTTGCCAACATACAGAATAACACCCAGTGCTCATCCTGCCCCTGCATTTTATACTTCTTAATAAACCACAGAACTGTGAAGGGTGGAATCAGCACTTTGTTCACTTTAATATTCACAGAGCCTGCCCCATCCTTGGCACATAATATGATAACACTTTAATCATGGCTGGCTCAGCAATTTATGGAATAGAATTCCATTGGATTAAGTCAGGAGATTCCAATTCTAACTCTAGCTTCGCCAATAACAATACAGTATGACTTTCAGAAATGTACTTCTTTTGGAGAGACATTGTCGAGTGCCTGCTCTGTGGGAGGCACAGCACCTGCAGTGGTACAGTATTTAAGACAGCCATGTCCCTTACCTCCATGGAATTCACAGTCTAATGATGGAGCTAGATTTTGTACAAGAATCACATGGATAGTTGTACTTGTGATAAGAACAATGAGAGCACAGGGACGCCTGGGTGGCTAAGTGGTCAACCATCTACCTTTGGCTCAGGTCATGGTCCTGGGGTCCTGAGATCAAGTTCCACATCAGGCTCCCCACAGGGCGCGTGCTTCTCCCTCTGTCTATGGCTCTGCCTCTCTCTGTGTGTCTCTCATGAATAAATAAATAAAATCTTGAAAGAGAGAGAGAGAGAGAGAGAGAGAGAACAACGAGAGCATATACAGAGGGACTTAAGGGTGTTTGGGGAGATAATTCAGGGAAGGCTTTTCTGAGAAATTGACATTTGAGCAGTGACCTGAAGGATGAATTAGTTAGCTGAATGTCAAGGAGAGCAGGAGAGAGTGCTGCAGAGTGTGTGACCAGCCCACGATGGAAAGGAACATAGCACACTGTAGGACTATAAAAACTCAATGGAGCTGAATTCAGGAAACAGGCGACAGGCACATGAGACAATTTGGGAGCAGTAGGCAAGGGGCCAGGTCATGCAGCATCACTGGGGCATTCTACAGAACGTGTTTGTTGATTTTTTGCTGAAAGCTTGTATCTGTATCCAACCGATGCTTGTAATTCAACTGTGATTTCACAAAAGGATTGTATCTCAATCTGCTCTTTTCTCAATAAAGTCATTATCACTAAATCTGATATGTGATCTGCTAAGCTGTTTTTTACCCTGTATAAATAAACCCATTAAACTACAATCTTTTAGCTTCAATACTAAGCACAGCACATTTTAAAGTTTAATCTGCATTATTAACAATTTTTTCCCATCACTTTCTCACGTCTAGAGACAATCAGCAAAACAACAAACTAAGCTCTGATTCATGGCATTTGCCAATTTCTGTGGTGTAGATACCGTCACCATGGCCGACAGCAATCTGCCGATGTGACATCACTGAAGGTAGGTTAGGCAGACCCATGCACAGCAGCATGCTATTTCCTTTTGGCAGTGGAAATGGAAAGAAGTGGACAGATTTGATAGACATTTAGCAAGTAAAATCTTGGTGATTTGTTAGATGCCAAGGGTTTGGGAAATACTGGGCAGGTGGTCGTATTACAATTACGTCACTTATTACAGGGAGACCTGAGGAGGAGAAAGCAGTGAGAGCACGCATTCCATTTGGGATGTCTTCCATCCTCGGTGCCAGTGACACAGCCAGGTGGAAGCCAGATAAATGGGTTTGAAGCTCAGATAAGGACTGGAGCTGTATCAATCTGGGATATATTGATTGAAATGTTGGCCGTGGATTAAATCATACAGGGAAAAATTGTAGCACGAAAAGACTGAGACCTTAAAAACATGTCCTTTGGAGGTCATCAAGCAGCAGATGAGCAAAGTAAGGAGACTGGGGAACACAAGGGAGCAGCACACCACTATCACCAAAAGAAGTGTGTTTGAGGAAGAATACTGCTGAGAGATCAAGTAAAATGCGGCAGGAGAGTGTCCTTTGGATTTAGTGATTGTGGGTGACTATAGGAAAAAGGCAGTTTCAGTGGAATGTGGAAACCAAGAAGTGGCTCCGAGCGGAAAGACTAGACAGGGAGGGGGGCATGGGGACCCGCAGGTCTTTTAACTTCAGTTATGGAGAGGAGGAGAGGGAACAGGGTGGCAGCTGGAAGGGTAGGGTGAGAGGCAGAGGAAGGCTTGGGACTGATTAAACGCTGATGACAGGGATCCAGTCAGTCAGGAGGGAGGGACTGATCTCAGACCGGATGGGACTGTGTCATACTGGGGGAGAGGGGGTGTTGGAAGCGGGGAATGAAGGGTGGAATCCGCGTTTTAAGGTTTGTACGTTTGGCGGTGGAGAGTGGAAAAGGCTCCTCTCTTTTTGTTGAGGCAGCAAAGCAATCTGCTGAGATGGGAGTTCCTGGCGGGTGGCCTGGCAATCCGGTTGGCAGTAAAAGTTTAGGACAAAGTGACTACTGGTGAAGGGACGCCTGAATGTCGGCTGCAGCCGGGTGAGGTGCCACAGCGGGGATCGTGCATCAGCAGGAGAACGAAGGCCCGAGCCGAGGAAGAGGATCCATGAAAAACAGCAGGCGGCAGGCAGGGCCTTGGATGGCGGAACGCAGCTCTCAGCTCTGTTCCGAGAGGCACCGAGCGGAGACCCACGGATCTGAAACAACTCCTGCCACACGGAAGAAGTCAGCAAGGCCGAACGTGGAGACACACCGATCTGAACCAACTCCTCCCCGACAGGAGGAGCCCTGACGGTCCTCACCCAGCTCCTTTCCCCGCAGGGTCGCTGCGGCCCCCGGCGGAGCAACCCCCACGGCGCCAGGGGCGCAGGCCGAGCGCGGGCAGGTCCGCGCGCGCGCGGGCGGCGGCGGGGGGGGGGGGGCGGGCGCGCCTCCGCGGCCTGAGCCCGCCCCCGGGGCCAGCAGGGGCCGCCTCTTCCCGCCGGGCCTCGCCGGGCCTCCGCGCCGGGAGCTCCGCTTCCTGCGCTCCCGCCGCCGCCGCCGCCGCCGCCGCCGCCGCCGCCTGGCCCTGCGCCTCTTTCGCCGCCGCCTAGCGCCCGGCGGTCCGACATCCCCGGCGCGGCCGCCAATGAGCTGAAGAGGAGCGGGCTGCGGCGTCAAAGTGACGGCAGGCGCAGCCAATGGCCGCGAGGAGAGGGCGGGCCGAGGCGGGAGTGTGAGAGTGAGCGCCCGCGCGCGTGGGGAGCCGCGGGCGGTGCGGGCGGCGCGCGGCGCGGGGGGGGGGGCGCGGCGGGGGGCGGGGGCGGGGGCGGGGGCGCGGCGCGGGCGGCCCCTCCCCTGCCCAGCTCCGGGCGGGCGCCGAGAGCGGCCGGAGTTTCCGCGCCCGGGAGGGAGATGCGGCCGCCGCTCGGGCTCCTTGCAGGTAACGCGCGGGGCGGCCCCTGCAGGGCGGAGCGGCCGAGCGTGCCGCGAGGCGAACGGAGTTGGGCGCGGAGTGGACGCGGGGTGCCCGCTGTCGCCGCGCTCCGAGCCCCGCGGGCCGGCCCGGGCCCGGCGGCGGTGCCGCTGGGAGTTGGCTCCAGGACCTGGGCTGCGGCCGGGGCCGGGGTCACGGGGGACGCGGTGCGCCCGGGCGTGAGCTGCCCGCGGGGCAGTGGGCGCGGCGTGGAGGGCGCGCACTCCGCCTGCCCTCGCCCCGGGCCGTGGTCTCCGCCGCCACCCCCGCCTGCTCCAACGGCGCGGGCGCCCCGTCGCCCCGGGGCGCACCAGGCGCCCGCAGCGCGTCCCCGAAGCGGCCACCTGGCCGCGGGGCCCCGCGCCTGGCCGCCAGCTGGCCGCGGCGCCGGCGATGGCTGGGCACAGCCGGGCCTCTTGGCCGCGCGCCCTGGGTTAAAGGCGGCTCCCCCGCAGTGCCGCGAGTGCCAGCTCCCCCGCGCTGGCGGCCGAGCGGAGCGGCGGGAGAGCCGCGTGCCGCCGGCCGGGGTGCCCGGGGCCACCGAGCTGCCGCTTCCCTGCGCGGGTTTGGAGTTTGGGGAAGCCGAGCAGGTGGCGCAGCCGCCCCTCACCTCCTGCGAACTCCGCGGGGCTTCTGGTCTTGTTGGTGTTTTGACTGTGGGCTCTGTGTGTGTGTTTCTTTCTTTCTTTCTTTCTTTCTTTTTTTCAACCACACACAAAAGAAGGGAGGAGTTAGAAAAAAGATCAAGCCAGCGCGTTGTGAGTCATCATCCCACGCTGTTATCTCTGCAAGAGCAGATGGACGCGCAGAATTCCTGGAGGAACAATTACCATAACGACTGGCTGGGTCCCTCTCGGTCCCCTCTCCCGCCGGGCCTGGCCATGCCTGGCACACCCCAGATGGACGTGGGGTAAAGTGATGCGTGCTGACTTAGCTGGGAAAATGGCTTCAAGCTAGCAAGCTGGAAACTTTCTGGGACAGTGTAACTGTGGATGTCGAACCACACGCAGTCATTCTTGCTCTAGGCAGGCGTGGCTCCCGCCTGTTACTGAATTAAAAAGAAGAAAGGCTATCACAGGAGGAAGATACATTGAGTAGCATTTGTTTTTCCAGCTCTGCGTGGGGGAGGGCGGTGGAGATGACCAGCTCCCATACCTTGAGGGCCCCAAGAGAGCAGCAGCCAGCTCAAGTCTTCAGATGCTGGGTCAGAAATGATGGTGTTCCTTAATCTGATTTCCAGAAGCACTGTCTCATCTCAGCCTGGTAGAGGGCAGCTTGGCATGGATGGATTGTTACTGATGAGGTAGAAAGGTCACCCGGAGGCCAGCGGGCCCTTCCATACATGTGGAAGAATATTCTGTAGTAGTTGGATGCTGCTTATAAGTCCAGGGTGAATCCTTGGGGTTTAGTCTCATCATTCCTATTTCCTGCCGTCCAAGGCAGCTGTGTCAGCTGTCACTGGGTCCCCAGGGTTCACAGCTCTGTGACATTTGTTTTGGGAGGTCGAGTCCTTGTATGATGAGATCTTTCTGACCATTGACGATTGATTCATTTGTTTCAACCTCCTGGCAATAGAGACTTCATGTTAGGAGTTTTGAGAAATCGAGACTAGAGCCTTTTGCTTTGTTCCAAATTCAATTACACCTGGGGCCAGTTAAATTCGGAACAGTGGGAAATGAGCACAGGAGTCAGGGGTCAGAGCAGAGCAACCTTACTGGTAGGCAAGCTGGCTGCAGCACCACTTGGGACTGAGCTTGTGGCCTACATGAGGCCCCCTCCTTTTCACTCCATATGGTGAATTTACTGTCCAGCCACTACCCAGAGCCAGGGCTTCCAGACAGGACACCTGGAGGAGAGAAACGAGACCGTGCAGCTGGGGACCTATCAAGAGAAAATCAGAATGTGTGCCTTCCCATTTCATGGCCTGCATAAACAGGTGGAGGGTACACCTGTCTGTATCCCCTCACTCTGGCAGGGCTTCTTTTACTTGAGCACCAAGTCCGGCTGGGATCATCACAGAACAAAGGCCATTTCCTTTTGGGGGAAGTGAGGTTGGGAGCAGGGTCACCATGATATACTGTGCAGTTTATGCAGGACATACAGACGCCAGCCAAGCACACAGTGCCCTGGACCCATCCAAAGAAGGGCACCTATTCTCAGTTATATCGGGACACTGGATGGGCTACTGCTGGCCTTGGTTGGTAAGCCCATCTACAGGAATGAAGAGTTGATGGCATCAGTGTTCCCAAGACAGGAGATCAGGAACCCGGCCCTGGGAACTAGTTTCTCCGAAATAGTAACCATAACAGGAATGAATTATTTCCGTACATTCTCTCCTCTAAGCCTATGACAACCTCCCAGAGTATGTAGTGGTACCCTGTTGGGCCTATGAGAAACTGATCCTCAAGGTCTCAAAGATAGCAAGTACAAGTCTGCTTGCCTCCAGAGCCTGAGTTCTTAACCCCTGGGTGACGCTCCGAGAACTTTGCATAGGTTCCTAACACACTATGGCTTTTATTGCATTGACTAATCTACAGTATTCTTTCAGCCATCCCAGTGTATACATTAATCATCATACCTTAAGTAAAAAGGGCATTTGTGAGTATTTACAGGGACAGCAGAGGAGTGAGAACCTCAGAGACTTGGGAGGAAGCTGCCATGAGGTGGCAGGAGCCCAGCAGAAAAGAATAAGCTGGAGGGTGAGGAATGGGGCAGACTCTAGGTTTGCTGATGTCCTTGCAGTAGAAGAGGGGGAGATCATTCCAAGATTGCCTCAGCTGTCCTGGGAGTGCTCCGGGAGTCCGGGCCTGGCCCACCAGGGCACTGCAGATCTTCGGGTCTATAGTCTGCCTTTCATATGTTTCGGCTGGTGCCTGACTACCAGAGTAATTCACCTGTATTACAAGTCATCTGAAATGAAAAGTGGGGCAGGACAGTGACTTCAGGAGCACAGATTATCTCTTGCTCTGGTATTCTTCCTGTATGGGTATTGGAACCTCACAACAGCCTTTTGTGAGATAATAATAATACTCAAATATTTGGGCCTAAAGCAGGTAACATCAAGACCAGCTCTGTGACCATGCATCAGCTTACAGCTCTATTGTGCACTTAAAACTCATGTATTTTAGGGCACCTGCATGGCTCAAACCATTAAGCATTCAACTTGTGATCTCAGGGTCATGAATTCAAGCCCCTCATTGGAGCTCAATGGCCAGCATAGAGCCCTACTTAAAAACAAAAACAAACAAACAAAAAACATGTATTTTCCTCCACATTAATTTTCCAAATCCAAGAACACTTTCCCTCCATGTTAAGTCGTGGTATCTTTCTAACTACATAGTCTTTGTGATTTGTTTTTTCACATTTTTGTCTGTTTTGCTTTTTTTTTTTTTTTTTTTTTTTTTTTGTAGCGATTTCTTTAGTTGAAATGCAGACACAGTAGTAGGGGCCTGCATGGTGACCTATATTGTATATGCAGCTGTAATTTGGATATCACCAATGGTTTAATCCTTTCAGTAGAAAAGAAAAAGGCAGCAGATAGTAAATGGACTATTTCCCGCCAGCATTTGCTGAGAGTGTGAGTTACATTAGGTGGAGAAGCTTTGAGGGACCTGCAGTGAGAGATGCAGAGCGTTTCCTCTCTGGAATTGTAAGTCTAGACCTCTTTCCAACACCCGGAAAGGGACAATGTTACCCGAGAATAACGTGTCCCATTGACTGTTGGATCTTTCTCCACATTTACTCAGATAAAAGCCTGTAGAAAAGATGCCTGTGACCTCAGATGGCCTATTTGGCTGATTTCTTATTGATTTTGTTATCCAGGGTATTCCCTTGGAGGCCTGGAAACAAATGCATCTAAACCGCCTTCCCAATCAACGACTCTGGGATTCTCTTCCATCTAGCATTAAAGGACTGGGGGCCAGGTCCCTTTACGACAGTAGACAATAAACCAAAACACTAAAGGGGATTTTAAGAAATAGTTCTTTCGCCTGTGCTTTTACCCTTCTTATAGAAAGTGTTTGTAATAATAGTTACCTCCCCTGAGCATTCATTAAAGCCAGACTAAAGTTCTAAGCACTTTAGGTGGGTATCTTGTTTAATGGCAATCACGTAAGGTAGAAGAATTATCCCCATTGTAGAGGCCAGGAGACTGAGGCCAGAGAGGTTAAGTAACTTGTCCAGAGTAACATAGGACTGGAACCTGAACAATTTGAGCCAAACATGATTCTGGTAAACCCAGAGAAAGCACCTCTTGAGGGTGTAGTGAGGATAGGGACAGATAGAATGTGATTTGCAGGATAGTTTGATATTTGGGCAAATTCCAGAGCAGGAAGCTCTCAGGCGGATCTCACCACTGGAAAGTCCTTATGCTTTGCTGAGTGGCTCAGGAAGTGGACTTTGAAAGGGCAGGTGACACACATGAGGCCACAGAACTAATAAATGGCAAGGCGGAGAGACAAACTCTTCTGGCTTTAACATTTTGCCTCTTAGAAAAAGTTAAAAAATAAGAGTGTATTTTTAACTTGACTCTTTCACCAACAGTGAAGGTCATATCCTTACTTGGAATAGCTTCCCCTCTTCTCTGTTAGGATTCAGTTCAGCCCTTTCTGGACTAAGGTAAACCAGTCACTATGGCGTTCTCTCCTTCCTCTGTCTGTGTGTGAACCTCTCACCTGGCCATCGATCGTGTGCTGTGCCTCATCATCTGTGTTAAAACTCTCTTCTCTCTCCCAGATCCTCATCTAACTGGAGTGCGTGTTTGAGTTGTAGAGAGACTGTCAGAATCAGGACCATGTTTTGTACCCTAATACGTAGACCTACACCACATGCTAAGACCCAACAAGGAATATTTATTGATTACTCTTGTTTGAATGAAGCAACATGGTGACTTTTTTTTTTTTAACTTTGGTGTAAACTAGTTCAAGGATTATAAAAACAATTTGTCTTAAGGGATTGATATATATACCCAGATTCTCTGAAATTAATGTTTCTCAGGATAATCCAGTATCAGAAACCCAAAGGCTTCAGTTTGCTAGGTTGCTGTTATGCCCAGGGAGAATTTACATGTGTTCCGGGTGACTCTTCTGCCCACAGAAAACCACGACTTGAAGTTTGTAACGACCACATCCACGAACTTGCAGCATAGATGGCTGCTAGGTACACGTGTCTGCTGCAGAAACATTCCTAACAGCGTGTTGATGACTGTCTGTGTCGTGTCACTTTTCTTGTAGATTTCTAACCAGCATAATGCTGGAGCGAGAGGCCGGCAGGCTGCAGTTTTCAAAATGACCGAGTTGGACGCCGATTTGGATCACATCATTCCATCTTCTGTCCTGCCCGCTTTCTGGGCTAAGTTAGTGGTGGGATTTGTTTCCCTCGTGTGTTTCGCCCGTAGCTACGATGGAGATTTTGTCTTTGATGACTCGGAAGCTATTATTAACAATAAGGTTCGTACCGTAACTCCTTTTTGGTAAACTTGTGTTAACCATTTGCCTGTTTCTCGTTAATAATCACAGTTTGTGTTGAATAATTCTGTGTTAAGCTTTGGTTAAGCATTCTAGATTTCCTACCTCTTTTAGGTTGCATCCCCTCAATTTGGGACCCCTTTAATTTATTGTCGGAAGCAATGACCTGACCTCAAGCTTTACCCTCACCTTTTTGAGGCTCCAGTCTACTCATGTGTCAGAGAGACTATTTCTCTCAGATTACGAGGCAAGGAAGGGTATTGCAAGGCATTGCAGACTAAGTATCTTAGGTTTTAGGACAAATTTCCAGAATCGTAGGCCACAGCTGTCCTCCCCCTCCCCACCCCAGCCCTGCCCCAATATGCATTTGCTGCAGCAATGGACCAGTCTAATGACCTACCAAGAGGTGCGTCCTCAGCAGCAGGCAGTGAGTTGGCTGTGCTTCTTTGTCCTTTGCTGATAACATCAGGACAGCCTGCTGGTAGCTGCTGGAGAGTGAGGACTGTGTTGTCCTGGAAGCTGCAGTTCCTGCTCATTTCTTGTGTGGAGACTCAGATTTGCTGAGTTTGCAAAATACCAGCCAGTTTTGCTCACCAGTGGGTGCTATATCGGTGCAGGATAAATGATACTGCTTTTCACTAGCTGGAGATAGAGAAGAATAATTAGGTTTGGAGGAAGGGAAGAACAAAATTTAAATGAGCTAAAAAAAAAAATCGAAACAAGAAACTGGGAAGTAAGGAGAGCCAGAGGAGAGGAGGAGAAAGAATGCAGAAATGGCATAGATTAGAATTTTTATGATGACCCAGTTACTCAACAGATAGAGTCTGTGTGTGCCTTAACCCAATGAAGAGAACCTGAAGGAATATATTAATCTCTCTCTAGTAGATGCAACTGTAGCAACTCTGCAACACTGTGGTTGAATGCTCTTAGCATTTCAAAATCATGGATTTTTCCCAAATAAGAAGAAAGTCATTTTCATATTGAAAATGTTGAGAAAACGTCTCTGCGACCAACATGTGTTCTGTGGGTGAGGGTGGGGAGAAGTAGGGGTGACTTGTGCAGGTGTTTTATTTGTAACATATTGTCTGTACCTGATTGCCTCTATTTTGATGACATAGACCACAGCCTCCTTGAAGTTTGTTTTTAATCTGGGTTCTTCATGTGTAATATTTCTCAGATTCACCAGGCAGTGGCTGCAGTGTTTTGTTTCTTTTTTCAGCTGTCCTTAAAATCAAAAGTAGTAAGTTTGTAGCTCCCAGCAACTGTGTCACATCGGTGGCTTGTGGCTGTAGAGTTGGCTTTTGAAACAAAGACAGAAGCAGATGACTTAATTTTAAAGCCCATTCTTCATTTCGTTGAGGGTTTCTTAACTCTTCCACTTTTCCAAAGTGGAAGATAGATACAGTATTAACTTAGGATGTATGTTGAAGACCTCTGGTGGACAAGGCAGGGGAAGGTGCACGCTCTGTTGTATGTGAGATGCCCTGGTATGAGGTTATAATTCTTCCTTCTGTGTGGGGTAAGGCAGATGAAGCCATTTTGTGGCTCTGCTGCACATTGTCTTGGCAGTGTTTTCTAGAGCATCACACTGTGCCCCTTTGTTAACTTCTTAGCCTTCCTTTTTTCCTTTCCTGTTTAATGAAAGGCTCTGCTCTGTTCGTTGGCACTGTGCCCACCATAATGTGAAACAGGCTGTTCCTGGGTTTTATTGGTGTTAAAGACTGTTTTCCAGATGCTTCCTTGTAGGGTTGAGTTGCCTTTTTTCATTGAGATGGTGATTTTCTTTGAGACAGTGGAGTTAGCAGGAATTTCAGACACACGTCTTTTCCATAAATCATTAGGAGGAAAATTGACCTTTCTTCCTGTAGTGCGCCCTGCTGTGTGTAGGCTACACCTAATCAAATATTTAGAGCTTCGTTGGTGTTCATTTTCTACTCAAACGGAGGGAAAGAGCCTACGTCCAGCTCCTGCACAAGTGAACAGGTACTTCTGGGAGAATGCAAAAGAAGATGGACTTCCAGTTTTATAACCGAGCAAGCCAAATTAGTGGGTAGTTTCCAAGATCTTCCTGAAATGTCAAACTGACTCGTAGAAGAGGGGAGAGTATGCTCCAGGGTGGTGAAACCGGTATGCAACAGAAGTGAAATTCACCATCAAAGTGGGTATGGGGTGGTCAGCTTTGCCTCTGTCACCCATCCCCAACCTTGCCCTTTGAACCCATGAGCACTGAAGTCATAAATACTTACTGAACTCCACCATGTGCCATAGACACTGGGTGCTTTCCTGGGCCAGCCATGATCTGACATTCCTGCTTGAGGCTTTCCCCACCTTGGCTGGTCAAAGCTGCAGAGACTGCCTTGGTTGGGTGCAGACTTGGGTGCAGGCTCTCCTCTCAGGTGCACCCACCTGTTGGAGTCAGGAGCTAGCCACACAAAGAGGACAGGGCCTGGAAGTGGCTGGGCAGCCTCAGCAAGGTGTCTGGTGGTGTGATTTGTGGGTGTGCATCTGGCCACAGAGCCCCAAATCTGGGAGCCCACCTGGGAATGGAGAGCCTTGCCATCTTCCCTAATGCATTTCTTTTGTGCTTGTTAATCAGAGTTGATTTTAGTTCCTGCAATGAAGACTCTTGATTGATACACTGTATGTGCTTAGCATGTCATAATTGCTAGTCCCTGAAATATTCCTGTTTAGTTATGCTTTAAAGAGAGAATTGATATTCACTTGTGTCACTTACTCTGTAGTGCCTTATCTGCCTCTCTTCTTGTTAGATACAGTTTAAGCCATCTAGTGTTACGTTTATTTTTTAAGATTTTATTTACATATTTATTTTAAAGAGCAAGTGCACATTACTGAGGGAGGAACAGAGGGAGAGAGACAAGCAGACTCTGCGCTGAGCACAGAGGCCGACACAGGGCTCGATCTGACAACCCTGAGATCATGACCTGAGCGAAAATGAAGAATCAGACACTTAGCCAACTGAGCCACCCAGGCGCCCCTGGTATTATGATTAAATGTTTTTTTAAAAGGTGCATTTTTGGGTCACCTGGGTGGCTCAGTGGTTGAGCATCTGCCTTTGGCTCAGGCATGATCCTGGGGTCTTGGGATCTAGTCCCACATCGGGCTCTCCACAGGGAGCCTGCTTCTCTCTGCCTGTGTCTCTGTCTCTCTGTGTGTGTCTTGCATGAGTAAATAAATAAAACCTTTTAAAAATACAAAAAGTAAATTAAAAGATATATTTTTAAGCATCTGTAGTATAGGATGAAATTAAATGACCTTAATAGAAAGATAAGTATAGTTTTTTAATATTTAGTAATTTTTTTATCTTTAAAAATTATGTAGAAGTTGGTTTTTTCTTCAATTTTCTGTTTAGCTCATGATATAAAATAAACATATGCTTCTCCACTCATGTTTTAACCGGGATATTGTAGGGAAATTAACTTATGTATTGAATATGAAAAAGCTATATGATCCATTAGTTCATTCAACATGGATTAAGCACCTACTGTATACTGTATACTCCCCCGCCACAGATGTGACCTGGGTCTCCTTGACCCTCAGTCCTGTGGGGCAGACAGATGGTAGTTAGAGATGATAAACCACCAGTGTGCCAGCTGCTGTGAGGCTGGGTACGAGATGCCCTGTGACCCATGGAAGGGGAATTGCATCAGCTGAGGAAGGTCACAGCTCACTGGTTGGGATATGAATGGTGGGATGTGCTGGGCTGTGAAGAGCTGAGGGATAACTGGTGGACACCTATGTGTGCAAAGCCTTTGGGGTAGTTGGCAGCAGGTGCTGAGTGGGTAGGACAAAGGTCAGGGTCTGAGTGAGAGGAGAGATGCAGGTAGAGCTCGGCAGGAGCCAGAGCACCCTGTGGCCTGTGACATCCACATCAGGATGTAGGCTTTGTCCTGGGGGAGGAATGGAGCTATCGCAGTGTTTTAAGCGGGGTAGGGTGGGTGCCCAAATCTGTATTTTGGAGAGGTCAACCTGGAGAACGTGTCACAGGGCATAGTGGACCCGCTGGGAGGCCTGGCTGTATCCTAGATGAGAGATGATGGTGGCCTGGCCCAGGACTGGTCGGAGAGGTGGAGCCTAGGGCAATGAGCAGCTCCAAGGAAGAGCTCAGGGTGAGGGCTTAGACACGAGATGAGGGTGAAGTCCTGACTCCTTTGTCCAGAATGCCCTCTGCTGTGTTCCTGCAGGACCTCCAAGCAGACACCCCCCTTGGGGACCTCTGGCATCATGACTTCTGGGGCAGTAGGCTAAGCAGCAACACCAGCCACAAGTCCTATCGCCCTCTGACTGTCCTGACTTTCAGGTAAGATATGATAGCGTGGGCTGCATGCGATGCTGTACCAGGTTCTGTGTGATAAGGCTCCCAGTGTGGGGTAGTCAAGCCAGTGGATCCTAGGGAAGAATAAACCACTTATTCATATGGGTCTCCAAAAAGTATGTGCCAATTCCAACTGCTAGGAATAGGTCACAGGAAGATGGAGAGAATGTACATGAGGAAACATGACTCCAGGGCTGGCTCTGCCAGTACAGATACTAGAAGTGGAAGGATACAGAGAAGATGAGCATTGGCCCCTTGCAAGGATGACACACAAGTTAGTGAAATGTTCCATATTTTGCACATTTCTTGGAGGTTGGACCTTTGTTGGTGTTAACCAGAGAAACAATGTGAGTCAAGGCAACATGTGGCATCTAATGAAATTGTGAGGTTTTTTTCCATTACAAAAATAAGGTAAAAATCTTCCTAGTGTTACCAAGCCAATAGGCAAAAAAACAAAATAAAGCTAAAAACACCTCTCACTCACCTCCCCATTTGCATTAAGTAGATTTATTCACCTCACCAAAATTCCCATTCATAGCTATATCTCAGGTGCATTAAACACTTGTGTACAATCTCTCAGAAGCACAGAAATGATGAATTAGAACTGGTGGTAATTGAGAAGCAGTCAGTAATAAGAATCCATGACAGTGAGAATGTTTGTTGGATGGAAGGCTGATGGATGAACTATCAAGGAATGCTTCCTGTCTTTTGGATAAGCAAGTCACATGACTGTCTTAAATTTGGGTCCCTGTGGGGTAGCCAGGAGGAATGTGGGCTATGTTATATCATCTTGGCATGCAGTCTTGCCTTTTTAGCACTTAAAAATTTGTCCAGCTCTCCTCTTGCTTTTCCTCTCCACATATTATCTGCCTCATTCCTCTGACATGCTCTTCTCTTCCATTTTTGCCATCTGCACTTAATTATGCTCTTACCCTTTCTTCAACCTTCCAAGCTTGATAGACATTATTCATCTTGATGTCACTTTCACCAGAACTTTCTCTTCCCCCTTTCATGCTATTACTCACCAACCTTTTCCTCCAGGTGGTTTGCATTTTACTATGCATGCTTCTGTGCATCTGGTATGAACAAATACCCTTCACTTACAGGATTAACTACTATTTATCTGGAGGCTTCCACCCCATGAGTTTCCATGTGATCAACATCCTACTTCACGGTGGCATCTCTGTCCTCATGGTAGATGTCTTCTCTGTGCTGTTTGGTGGCCTGCAGTACACCAGTAAAGGGCGGAGGTTGAACCTGGCCCCCAGATCGTCCCTGCTGGCCGCTCTGCTATTCGCCGTGCATCCGGTACACACCGAGTGTGTAAGTAGCGTCTGTCCGCGGCATCCGTGCTCGTGTGAGGACAAGGAGCCTTTCATCTGTTGGCTCATTCCCTAAAACAGGCTCCCCTTGAAGAGCCTTATTGCAGTACCAAGTGTACGGTGCTACCCCCTGCCAGACACCCGAGCCAGTTATTTGTAGATCCCACAGATCTCTCTTAGGAAAAATGCAGAGTCCCAAGATGGGCAAAGACCTTATAATACTGATACGATGTGATATCTGGTCACGCAGACATCATGCTTCCCTTGCGTGACCACACCATAAAGGGTAAATCGTGAATATTGCCAGGTTTGGAAGTCTAAAGGCCAGAAGCTAGGAGCTTATCTTCAGCAAAGGGTCCAATGAAATTTTTTTTTTTACCTCCACTGAGAGCAGTCTGGGGGCAGAACTTAAATTCTGGTGTCTGAGGCCCATGCTGGGGAGATGCCGGCACTGGGAAGGTGTGGTTTCCACACCATGCTAGGGACTGGTCTGGAGCTCTCCCACCTTCCTTCTCTTCTTCTCTGCTGCCTGGATGGTTCTCCTTCCCTTGAAAGACTCCGCCCAGGTGGCCCAGCTGACATGGCAGCTCCTGACAGGGCCCTCACCTGCTGTCCTGCGGGCCACACCTTTATTCCATTGAGTTGCCACTGAATGTATTTGGTACAAACTGTTTTGGGATTTAACCATATGTGTGGGGATTTCAAGAACCATCCTATTCCCCTGCCACCATGGAACCCTTTAAAAATGAAAGTCTGCATATTTGCTGAGGTAAAAGATGTGATTTTAGCCATTTTTTCTGTGAGCTTGAAGCACCTGGTATAAAATATTATATGTTTCTTATTACTTATCCACAACAGATTTTTTTGCATTTCATGTGTGTTTAAATCCCCACATTTAACCAAATGTATTGAGCATCTTGAAGTGAGTTTCACTATATTGAACCGAATTCCTGCCTTTAGAATCTGCTTTTGTTAGACTCTATTCTCGGTATTAAGAGGATTGTAGAGTTGTTATCAGACCCTTCTCTTAGTATCTTATCACTATAAAGCTTTTTAAAAAAAAATTCTCATAATGTTTTACTTTAGCAAATTCAGAGGACTGACAACCTGGAAACTGTTACAAAAGATTTGTTATAGACTATTTATATATAACTGTGACCAAATTAGAATTTGCTTCCATGTGAGTTCTCATTATGGCTTAAATGTTCGTTGGGACCCAGAAATAGTGTATGCGTTAATCAGAAATAGGGGAATTTCTGGCAAAAGTACTGATTTACAGTTTAATTTAGTGTGATCTTAAAGCAAAATGTAATATTTGAATTATTAACCAAAGAAATTTTCCTAAAATTCTGAATTTAAATGTTGAGAAGTTAGTTTATAGAAAAGTTTCAAGTGCTAGCAAGTATAGCTAGATACACACACACACAAACACACACACCCATGCCCCAGTAAATGCCATCTGGGATCATATTAATCCTAAAATTCTACATTTGAAGTATTTAAAAAGAAGCCAAGGAAGGTCTAGCTATAGGAGAAAAGAAATATTTGAGAAAAATCTCTTCATCTCTCTCAACCTCCATTCCGTCAAAGTCATTCAAACTCAAATTGCAAGAAAAAATTATGGGTCATTGAAAATCAGCATTCTTTTTCTGAGATTTTATTTATTTGAAAGAAAGAGAGAGAGAGAGAGAGAGAGAGAGAGAGAGAGAGAGAACACCAGCAGTGGGGAGAGGGCAAGAGAGAGCAGACTCCCCACTGAGTGGGGAGCCAACACAGGATCCAGGATCCTGACCTGAGCCAAAGTCAGACGCTTAACTGACAGAGCCACCCAAGTACCCCAAAATTAGCATTCTTAAATAATTTGTATGTTCATCTTTCATTGTTCTGGCAAATAGGGAGTATTCAGTTTCCTCCTATCTACACCCCCTCATTATACCCCACTCTACATTTAACCCAGCTTTAAAAATAAGCCAGAAGCAGGACCCAAGGAGTTAGGAGGAAGGAGAGCCCTTTGAAGCCCCCAGTACAGTGCTGGGGAAGCAGCCCTGGGCTATGGACTCCAGATGAAGACCTATGTGACAGCCCTTGGCACAGTGCCCCCAAACTGACCAGCAAGCTAGGATGAGGTCTGGGGGTTGGGGAGTTATTGTGCTTCTGATTACATTTGTGAAGAGAAAGCACTGGCAATGTGGGTCCCTCCAGGTTTTAGTAATATAAATTTCTTTGTATTAGCATTTATGTGTTTGTGTCTTTATACTTTCTTGATATTAGCATTGAGGATGTTTTTGTCTGCTGCAAATAAGAATCTGAATTTCCCAGTCTTACAGGGTGACTAGCCATCCACTTTGCCCATTATTAAGGAGGTTCTGGGACATGGGACTTTCTATTTTAAAACTGGGACAGTCCCAGGCAAACCCCAGGGTGAGTTCATCACCCTACAGTTTTCCCACCTCCCAGGCCCTGATTGGTAATGAATAATTTTTTTTAAAGATTTATTTATTCATTCATTCATTCATTCATTCATTCATTTATTTATTATAGACATAGAGAGAGAGAGAGAGAGGCAGAGACACAGGAGGAGGGAGAAGCAGGCTCCATGCCGGGAGCCCGATGTGGGACTCGATCCTGGGACTCCAGGATCGTGCCCTGGGCCAAAGGCAGGCACTAAACCGCTGAGCCACCCAGGGATCCACGGTAATGAATAATTTTAATGAGTGTTATTTGCTCTTCAACTGACAGGAATGTCTCTCGTTTTCAAGGATACCACTCCAAATCAGTCTGGGGTGTTTGTAGGCCTATAAGGCCAGTCATTATGGGAGGGAGTTGAGCTAAGGGAGATGGTTGTCGAACCCCTCATCTGTGGCTGTCAGTATGGAGGCCCCAGCAAACACCAGTGCCACCATAGGGTTTCCTTTTCCTCAGAGTATTGGTAAGGATTTCAAGTATTGTCTGGATTTGGTATCAAAGAGGGAAACTCGGACTTCTGTAGGAATTCTGTCTGTACAAACCCCAAACCCAAAGTTCAATACTCAGGCATTAGGGGGAATCATTCTCCCCTTCCCTTCCTCTAGTTCCTTCTGACAAACCCATGCACATTGTTCCCACTGGGGAAACAACATGACCTGCTCTGTGGATTTGAGGGAATTGCAAACCCTGATATGAGTGTTTCGGGTTATCTCTGTAGGGGTGGAAACATTTCCCTCTCTTCCCTCCTAGGTTTCCCGTCTGGCCTAATGATTACATTGGCCTAAGACAGATTAACAAGAGAAAAACAAATTTGATTCCTGGAACCCCATAAAATGTACTGGAGCCCTGTAAAAATAGGAGATTTCAAAGAAGTGACCAAAGCAGGAAAGTTTTCCAAACTTGTGAAGAAGCATTGGCAGGACAAAGGGGTTTGGGCTTGGGGTCGTGAATTAGTGAAGTAACAGGCTTGTTTATTCAGCCTTCTGGGGATGAGGGTGCCTTCTACCCTCCTGACAGAGGGAGGGTGCTTTTAATAGGAGAGATTTATTTCCTGCTTTCAGGGGGACAAAAGATGGTTAGATCATCCTTCTTGTCCTGTTTCTCAAGTACCTTTAATTCGGAATACTCAGTATGCCAAAGTGGCATATCTGAGGATAGCAGAGCCTGCTCCCTTTCCTTTGTATGAAAAAAAAAAAAAAATAGGGACGCCTGAGTGGCTCAGCAGTTGAGTGCCTGCCTTTGGCTCTGGGGCGTGATCCTGGGATCTGGGATCTGGTCCCGCATCGGGCTCCCTGCGTGGAGCCTGCTTCTCCCTCTGCCTGTGTCTCTGCCTCTCTATCTCTCTGTGTCTTTCACGAATAAATAAATAAAATCTTTAAAAAAAATAGCCTGCAAAGGCTATTATAAAGACCTTTGCCTGAAAATATATATAATGAAGATATTAGGAAAGAAAAATAAAGCCTCTCCACACTCTTGCTCATGTCCCCAAACAATTGGACACAGTGCTTCCTTAGATAGCCCTTAAAAACTTTTTTCTGTGAAATCTGTCTTTAATCACGATGTCAAAAGTTCTTTGTAAGGACTAAAAACTCTTTGTACTTCAAAACGCCTGCTGTACTTTTTAAAATTTGTTTTTCTTTATGTTGGATAATATCACGTACATTGCTTAAAGACTTGGGGGTATTTTCACCAGTGAGCCAAAGAATGTTTGTTTTAAAAATAAGCTTATCACGGGAGCGCCTGCGTGGCTCGGCTGAGCATCTGATTCCTGGTTTCAGCTCAGGTCGTGATCTCAGGGCCATGAGATTGAGCCCCGCATGGGGCTCTGCACTCAGCTCGGAGTCTGCTTGGGATTCTCTCTCTTCCTTCTTAGGAGGTTTTTTTCCCTGTGGGTGGCATTCACAAGTTGGATTCATCAGCTCCTCCAGTCTTAATGATCGTGTGACACCTTGCACTGCCACGTGCGCTGCCATCAGGAGTTAATGATCAGAATGGATAATCACCTCCGATGTTTTATATCTAGCCTTGGTAGCAGGAAACTGTTGTCAAAAAGCAAAAGTCATTGCTTGTCCACACAGTTGGGAATCATACATAAATAGAGTAATTTTCATGTTCACTGTATATTCTCTTTACCTCCATTTATAGCTTACTTAGTCTTTATTCTGTCCCACATATCATGGAACTGTTGGAGAGGCCTGAGGGAAGGGTACCATGATATGTGTGCCATTGGAGAGATACCTAGAGAATCCCAGTAAGGCTTTGGTATGTGTCATATCTGAGTGCTGGTTAGCAAAGCATGCCGCATAAACCAGACCCACAATCCTGGGTGGAATTCTGTGTCTTTCTCTGCCAGGAGATTTTGGAGAACAATTACTGGATGTGATGTGAGAAAGCAAGGGAGGAAAGGGCATTTGTGGGGAAAGAAATGGTAGACATTTTATTCTGTTTTCATCTTTCTTCTCAATCACTTTTAAAGCATTCTGATTTCCAGGTCAACCCACTGAATTGATTTTGATCTTGAAGGGAGGAGGAGTGGCAGGGGCAACTTTGAATGATTGTTCCCATACCTTTTTCTATTTTCCTGATGACTTTTCACATTTATTTCCCACCTTTCCTCCATGTTTCCAATCAAATTTTCTTTACTAAATGTTATGCCCTTTGAGCCGATGGTTTTTTCCATTGACAATCCACATTGTGGACATCAGTGGTATGGGTGTCTGGGCTCCAGGCTGCAGTGTGCAGGGATGGGGCTCTCACAGCTCATGCAGGACTGTGTCCTGCTCCCAAAACAGCCATCAGTACAATCCTTGCCGCCTGGCTCTCATGGAAGCAACTAACTCAAATCTTAGACCAAAGAGGGAAAAGAAAAACCAATTGTAAGATAAGACCACAGGGCTGTTGCACAGTTATTTTAACAGATGGCAAAATCTTGTAAGGTTTTTGCCTTGCCTTTCTAAGAATCTTTTTATGTTTCCTAAGTTTAGGATTTTTTAAATGTTTTTTTTACATAAATCTTTTTTTCTTCTCCTTCTTTTAAGGTTGCTGGTGTTGTCGGCCGTGCAGACCTCCTGGGTGCCCTGTTCTTTCTGTTATCTTTCCTTGGCTACTGTAAAGCATTTAGAGAAAGTAAGGATGATGTTTTCCTTCTTAATTTTAAGCTGGGAAATTGTCCATTTATTTAATTTTTATCACTTTGCAAGAATGTGGACCAAAAGATCTCTCTTTAGATACGTGTTTACTCTGTTGCTTTTTTAATAATACAAAGTTCATACATTAGCATTCACGGGAGCCTTCTATTGGGTGCTCTTTACTAAAGCAGTTGTGATGGGTGTTTATCATTTTATTTGCAGCAAAATTGTAGGGGAAAAACACTTTTGTTTATTCTTTATTAAAACTTCTCAGTGAGAAAAATAGAAAAAATCTAAAATGAATAGCTATGGATGTGGACCTGGATTATGAAATTCTTGGTTTTGTCATTGGAAGAATATTAATACTTACAAAGAAAAGCATTATTTCTGGAGTTGAAATGGCTCACTGAGTGTGTGTGTCGGGGAGGGAGGCATGGAGGAATGGTTTGCAGCAGCACAGCAGGTGCATTAACTGAGATGCAACAGAATCCCTGTATGGCTCAATGATCCCCAAGTCAAGTCCTACCTTCCCAATTGCTTTATTGTAGACATTGGATGGGATGAATTCAGCTTATGTACCTGTCATGCCTGCTAGCTCCAGCGATGCATGTACATTCAGTTTCTGTATCTGAAGAAGTGAGAAGTGTATGGACTGTAGAACTCTTCTTGTATATCATAATCAATGATTTATATTTGGGGGGAGGGGAAAAGAGGGAAGGTGAGTGGGATGATTTCCTCTGGAATGTTGGAGTAGAGCAATTTAAGCAGGAGCACGTGTATCTTGGCATGTTGAGGCTTTTTCCATAGAGTTTCTCAAAGCTCAGGTGTGGTCCAGAGCTGCCAGGGCTTTCATATTGTGGTCATGTACTGATTCTTGTACTTTGGTTTCTCCTGTGAATTAATCTCTTACTAATAATGAAGAGCAGACTGCTCATTGAGAATTTTGTGTGTTGGGGCTGGTGAAATGGAAATTTCAGGGTTAGTAAACAAAGGGACCCAAGGCCAAAGCCAGCCCACTACCCCATAAACTTTCTCATGTGGCCCATAAACTAAGAATGATTTTTTTCCAAATACATGTTGAGCCACTACTATCTAATTTAATGACCACTGTGGCAAATTTTAATAATGACTTTTACATATTTTTGTTACCATTACAAAAATGATTCCGTTTTTTTTCCATAATTAAATTTCCACAACACCGCACAACTATTACAAAAGAAAACTTAAAAAAAAATAATGTTTTACAGATCTTAAACTCATCTTTAGCATTTAGCTCAAAGGTCTCACCATCCTCAAAAAATAGTTCACCTGGGGTACCTGGGTGGCTCAGTGTTGAGTGTCTGCCTTCAGTTCAGGTGGTGATCCCAGGGTTCTGGGATCAAGTCCTGCATCAGGCTCCCAAAAGGGAGCCTGCTTCTCCCTCTACCTATGCCTCTGCCTCTCTCATGAATAAATAAATAAAATCTTTAAAAAGAAAAAATAGTTCTCCTGCTAATCTCCTGCTAATCAGCTTAAAGTTCTATCTCAGTAGTGAGAAGATGGTCTTCACTAGCCCATGGTAATTCTTTTCTCATTTTTCCTAGCCAGTTAGGGTTGAACAGCAGGGTAAGGCTCAGATTGGCAGGTAAGGGAGGAGGGACACAAGGACGAGTTTTCCCCAGAACAAGATGGCTTCTGAAGCTGATGGGAGAACAGAACTGTTGGAGAGGCCTGAGGGAAGGGTCCAGGCCCTGTATTCAGTCAGAGTCTCTGCTGGAAGAGCAGAAGGAGGAATGCTTGTCATGCTCATGGTGTTTATGCATCTTTTTATGAACTTTCTTCATTTTCTTCCACATCTTCTTGTCCATCACCATTCCTCGTGCTACCATGCCCTGTGCCCAGGGATTCACGGGAGGGGTGCCAGGAGCAGGTGGTGAGTGAGGACTGAGAGTTTGGCATCCTGGATACCCTAGTTGTGGTACAAGATGAGGGAGTGCATCTGGGGGGAAAGCTAGATTCCCCTGGGGAGCTGCCAGGGGAGTTGGAGAGAGTCCTGGAGGATAGGCAAGATTGACAGGCAGTGGATGGGCAGGATGGGCATCTCTGGGGATTTGGCCCTGGCTGCTCAGCATTGGGATTCCACACGTTCCAGAGCTCCCTCCAGCCTTTATGCCACCGCTTGGGCTTGACTCATCCTCAGCGCTCTGATTTTGACATGTTTAAATGGTTAGGAAATAAGGAACAATAATAACATTTCATGACATATAAAAAGTTACATGAAATTCAGATTTCAGTGTCCATATATAAAGTTTTATTAAAACAGGCACACCCATTTATTTTCATTTTGTCTGTGGCCGCTTTTGCCCTTCGATGGCAGAGTTTCACGGTGTTGGTACTGGCCATCTGGCCTGAAAGCCTAAGACACTTAACTGTCTAGTTCTTTGCAAAGTTTGCCAGGCTCCAAGACAGATGATTCCCAGTGTAGCTGTCACCATCTGAGTGGTTCCAAAATTTGTTTTAGTAATGATTAATAGGGGTTTCCAGCAGAAGGTTTTTACTTTGGAACGTAGATGACTTTGCTGTTAATATAATAGCTGCCATTTTTTGACTGTCTACTGGCACATGTGTATTTGTGTGTGTGTGTGTGTGTGTATATATATATTTGTATATATATATTTTTTTCTTCTTTTAACTATGTAACAATCTTTAAAATAGGTAGAATTACTTTCCCATTTCTCCAGATGTAGGACTTAAAGTTTAAGTAACTTTTTCAGGGTCACACACTATTTATGGCAAAACTGGGTTCACACTGGAGTCTAACTTATTATAGTCTAACTCACATCAAAGCCAACACCAACTGCCTTGTGCTCTTCTGCTTCCTTATATTTATTGGATCAATAAGGCAAAGCTTATCAAAACCATCATTAAAAATAACGGGGGGGGGGGGATCCCTGGGTGGCGCAGTGGTTTGGCGCCTGCCTTTGGCCCAGGGCGCGATCCTGGAGACCCGGGATCAAATCCCACATCAGGCTCCCTGCATGGAGCCTGCTTCTCCCTCTGCCTGTGTCTCTGCCTCTCTCTCTCTCTCTCTCTCTCTCTCTCTCTCTCTCTCTCTGTCTGTGACTATCATAAATAAATAAATTTAAAAAAAATAAAAAGAATTGGCTTTTTTTAAAAAAATAAATAACTGGGGGAAGGAGGTGGGACACCTGGGTGGCTCAGTGGTTGAGTGCCTACCTTTGGCTCAGGGTGTGATCCTGGTGTCTGGGATCAAGTCCTACATCATTGGGCACCCTGCAGGCAGTCTGCTTCTACCTTTGCGTGTGTCTGTGCCTCTGTGTCTCTCATGAATAAATAAAAAATCTTAAAAAAAAACAGAGCAGGGTCACCTGGGTGGCTCAGTCGGTTGAGTGTCTGACTCTTGATTTTGGCTCAGATCTTGGAATTGTGAATTTGAGCCCCATGCCAGGCTCCACACTAGCAGGGAGTCTGCTTCAGATTCTCTCTCCTCTCCCTCTGCCCCTCCCCACCCCCCACTTGCACTCTCTCTATTGGTCTCTTTAAATTAGTTAATTAGCCAGGAGACACATTCAATTCTGCTAATGGATTATTAAGATACGAGGCATGATAATGGCATCACAGGTATGTTTTAAAAAAATCCTTTACTTTTAGAGACACATGCTGAAATACAGATGAAATGGAATAATGTCTGAGATTGGCTTCAAAATAATCTGAGAGGAGGCAGGAAGAATGTAGTCAGATTAGCCAGAAGTTGATAATTATTTAAGCTAAGTTAGAAGATGTAAAAATCACTGTAGCCATATCTATACTTTTGTATGTTTTTTGTTTTTTAAAATAGTTGTTTTTTTTTTTTTTAATGCCAGGTGAGTCACCAGATTAAGAATCAACAGATTTTGATGACATGCTCTTTTCATCTTTAAAACATTGTGTTTATCTCAGACAACTGGACGATATATTCTTTAGGAGTTTTTTTTTTCCTCCCTACATTACATGAAACAAGTGCATAGTTAATGACTTTTTATTATGGAATCAGGAGAGAAATTTTAAAACCAAAATGTAATAATATAATTTAGCAATTAAGCGTGAAAAACAAAATATGAGAAAGGCAACTAGAATACATTTGTAAAATATTTGAGACACAAGAATGCAGTTGATATATAAGTAGTAAGCCAGAATTCATTTCTGTAACTCATAACCGTGAACTCATTTCCCAACTTTTAAAAAAGGCACCTTTTCAAAATTAAAACAGTTTAAAGACTTTGCTTCTTCCCCTCTCCCCCACCACCTCGTCTCCAGCCCTTTGGCCGCGTCTCCATCCCTGAGTCCTGGGGCTCTGCCTCTCCCGAGGTCTCTGTGGGTTTGGAAGACAACCACTTAGAAGGTTGAAGAGTCATCTCCCTATGACTCCCAGGTGGTGTCCATCTGCACAGTAAATGTAGGCGAGGCTACTTAACCTTATTATTTGCTCTCAGGATTCTGAAGAGTTTCTAATACAGTCTGCCTTCCAAGAAATGCTGTCCTAAGTTGAAAATGGCACAAAGACTAGATTCTTCTCGTGATTTTTTTAATGTTCTGTGTACTAGTGAGAGTTCCCGAGCAGACACAAAAAGAATTAGTTCTATTATTTAAATCCCAGTAGACTTTTCCCTCTTATTTTTCTTGTGGTAAAATATACATAACATAAAAGGGACCATTTTTAAATGGTTAAAGCTTATTAAATACACTTATTAAACACAGTTGAGCTTATTAAATACACTCCCATTGTTCTGTAACCATCACCACCGTCCATGTCTAGAACTTGTTCATCTTGCAAAACTGACACTCTACACCAATTAAGCAGTAACTCCCCATTCCCCCTTCCCTAACCCCTGGCGACCACCATTCTGCTTTCTGGCCATGAATTTAACTGTTCTGGGGCCTTGTATAAGTAGAATTGTACAATATTTGTCCTTTTCTGTCTGCCTTATTTCACTGAGCATTACATCCTCAAGGTAATTC